TGAGCTCAAATTAAGGGGCAGCTAGGTTTTTATTCCTTCATGTCACAGTAAGGAAGGGCAGTTAGGTTTTATTCCTTCATGCCACAGTAAGGTGTTTTTATTTGCTAGAAACAATGACAGGCCATTAGCGTTTCAAACCCCTTTTTAAGAAAAAAAAACCTTAGGGGTGGGGGGAGGGGTGGCTCAGCAGGTAAAGGAGCTTCCTACCAAGCCGGGTGACACACGATGGAAGGAGAATTAGCTCCCTCATGTGTCAAGGGGCATCATGCATGAGTGTATACACATACAAGTAAATAAATGTAATTTAAGGAAATATTTTAAGAGCCAGCAAGGTGGCTCAGTAGGTACCTAATGACCTGAGTTCATTCCCAGAAAGGTGGAAAGAGAGGGCAGTCTTCAGTTTGTCTTCTGGCCTCCACATGCATGCCATGCCACGTGACCTCCCCTTCCCTCCACACACATAATAATAAATAAAATTTATGTTTTTTAAAACTGGTTTTGGAGCTGGTGGTGGAGCTCAGTGTTAGAGGCCCTAGGCTTATTCCCCCAGCATCAAAACAACAAAGAAACCTGGTGTGCTTCTAGAAGGTTCATTATCTGAAGATAGATCTGTAGTGTGCACATGTGAGAGGGACATATGTAAAAGAACATTCTCTAAAGACCCTTTTCCTCCCCACAGCTGTTCCCTGCCAGTTCTTTGCTGATGAGGTCATGCATTTTATTCTAACCCATCATTGGGAGGATTGGGCATTCTCAGCATGCCAGGAAGAAGCAGGCGTAATTGCATCCTGGTCACACAGCTAGCAGGTGGTACAGTTGGAATTCCAACTCAGACCTGCCTGAGTGGGTTTTGAAGAGACACGGGGGAGGTATGGGGTCAGCCTCAGCCCCAAGATCATCAGAACTGTGTCAAAAAGGGAAACCGGAAGTGGATGGAGCAAGATCAGAGCAGGAGAGCCTTTTGTTTGTGTTTCCTTTTGTCTTTTTCTTCCCCATTTAAAAGCAGTGGTTCTAAACCTTCCTAATGCTGCAACCCTGTAATACAGTTCCTCATGTTGTGGTGACCTCCAACCATGAAATTATTTTCCTTGCTACTTCATAACTGTAATTTTGCTGCTGTTATGAATCATAATATAAATATTTTTTGAGAAATCTGCCAAAGGGTTTGTGACCCACATATTGTGGTGACCCCCAACTATAAAATTATTTTCCTTGCTACTTCATAACTGTAATTTTGCTACTGTTGTGACTCATAATGTAAGGGTTTTGTTTGGTTTGGTTTGGTTTGTTTTTTCCAGATAGGGTTTCTTTGTGTAGCTTTGGAGCCTATCCTGGCACTTGCTCTGGAGACCAGGCTGGCCTCGAACTCACAGAGATCTGCCTGCCTCTGCCTCCTGAGTGCTGGGATTAAAGGCGTGTGCCCTAATGTATTTTTGAGAAAGAAATTTGCCAAAGGCTTTGTGAGCCACAGTTTGAGAACCACTGCTTTAGATCAACCTGTGAGGTTGTGAGATGGTAACAGAGTTAATGTGTTCCCCATAGTGCTCCCCACATCTCCCATCAAGCTCTGTACATGGCTTCATGTAGGTACCAAATAAATCAATCAGCAAGTGAACATTCGAGGAAATGTGTAGGAATGACATGGATGTGCAGGAGATGAGACTGAACACAGGAGCTGCTAAGTCAATGAGTGAACTAACTTCCATGATGACTGCTATGAAGACAACCCCTGACCCTTTCTGGGCATAGTCATGCTGGCACCTGCCCCTGTGTTTCCATTGAAAGTAACTGACAAACACTGGGCACGGTGGCACACACCTTTAATCACAGTACTCATTTGAAGTCACTGATGACCCTTTCCCAAAACTGGACACACTGTCAATGGATGTCAGTGTGTCAGTGTATCCACACTGACAATGATTAGCACCGAAGTAAGTCACTATGGTCTCTACAATTTTAACTGCAGTAGCATACTTTGCCCAGATGGAGCCTTCCTCCAAAAATCTCCAACACTGATTGCAGGGGCCTCTAAAATAAAGTCCTAAACAGGACTCTGCAATAGTTGGAGCTCGAGTAATACTGGTGTTGGACTAATGTACCCTAATAAGCTAAGAATGTACCCTAATAAGCTTCTGTACCCTAATAAGCTAAGAATGTCCATTGGACCAGCCTGAAGGTGGCTTTTCTGCATTGGGCAAGACATCCTTTCTGCATCTTAGGGTCTCCATCTGTTAAGTGAACATTACAACGTCATAGCCAGCATCTGGGACAAAGTAGGTGTTCAGCATTTGTAGAGTGAATGGATGATTTGGGGTGGGGGAAATGCTAGAGATGATGAACGAATACTACTTTACACAAAATAAGCACTTCGGGCGTCTAACATAAAAAAACAGCGGAAGCTGGAAGCCTTTTGCCTCCCTCCTCGCCGCTACAGTGCTCAACGAGGGGTCATCACAGGGCTGGTACCTCCTTCAGAGCATAAGGCACACCAGGACCAAGACTTCAGGCCCAGAGGATGTGCAGCTTGTTTTAATTTGACGAACCTGCAGGTGGTGCCCGCGCTCCCAGCAATCTTCCAACAGAGGTGGAGCAAAGCTCCTTCACTTGACCAGGGACCGGTTGGGTCTAGGAGGTGGGCGGGACAGCCGCAGACTCCCGTGATGGTCACCAGGATCTTTCATAAATCTCTCTCAAGAGGTTAAAAAAGTAAAAGAAGCACACCACACTCTCGCCAGCGTGGTACATCGCACATGTTTTCATCAAACAGAAAGCTAACAGTTTGCATCATTGATACTAATTTTAGGACTCTGAGCACTGAGGATATATAGCTCAACATTAGAGCGCCAGTCCCCAGCATGAAATGTCTAAATGTGAAGACTACAGCAAACGCAAACGCTGTCTTTTGAATTACCCAGAGTGAGCCCCACACACCTGCTCTTCTTAAGAAGATTGATACCTGCTTTCTGCCAGGCACTGTTCTGAACACTCTAGGAAACTCGTTTAATTTTCATGGCAATACCAAGAGCATTCTCAGTCTACAGATCAGAAAATTAAGACTATAAAGCAGGCAGTTCCCAGATCCAGCAAGAAAGACACACTTGGGACCAGGTATGACTTTATGACCCAAGGGCTAAACAACAGAGAGGATTGTGTGGGAAAAAAAAAAATCCGAAAACATTGATACTCCTCAAAATCTTTGGAAGATGAAAGGATGGTTTTTAAAAGTTCAGATTTAAAGGACAGAGAAGTGTAAGTCAGTGGGAGAGAGAGAGAGAGAGAGAGAGAGAGAGAGAGAGAGAGAGAGTGTGTGTGTGTGTGTGTTTAATGTGTTGAATTACTGGATTCAATCCCCAGTGCCAATAAATTAAATTCTATTTTAAATTAATTCAGATATAACCCTGACTTTCCACCATATGCCGCCCCCCCCCGTGTTTGTTTTGTTTTGTTTTTGTTTTTTGAGACAGGTTTCTCTATGTAGCCTTGGCTGTACTGGAACTCCCTCTGTAGACCAGGCTGGCCTCGAATTCAGAGATTCGCTTGCCTCTGCCTCCCAAGTGTTGAGATTAAAGATGTTCACCACCACTACCTGGCCCACCATGTGATTTTTTTTTTAATTTTCTGATTTATTTATTTTTTTTATGTATGAGTGCTCTTTGTGTATACCTACAGGCCAGAAGAGAGCACCATGTGGTTGCTGTGAGCCACCATGTGGTTGCTGGGAATTGAACTCAGGACCTCTGGAAGAACAGCCAGTGCTCTTAACCGCTGAGCCATCTCTCCAGCCCCCACCATGTAGTAGGGCCTAAAATTTTGCATTTTGATCTTAGTAATCCTGAAGAAGCCAGTCAGATGGTTTTTGAATGGTGTGTCTTGGTGTTGAAAGAATTTGGACAATGTACAATCAGTCTGCCACACGTGCAGATTTCACAGAAATTGAACCAGACACAGGTGGAAAATATTTAGATAAAAAATAATTGTTCATTTCTACTGAACATGCACAGATTTTTCATTTTCTAAGCAATACAATATAAGAATTCATGTAGCCTTTACATTGTACTAAATGTTATGTCTAGACATGATTAAGTATGCAGGAGGACATGCATGAACTATGTTCATATGCAAGCATTATGATGGAATAGACTTGAATATCCATGGACGGAAGTTCTGTAACCAGGATGCTGAGAACAACTGTGCAGTACATACCCATGCGACTTCTACAGACTCCTTTGTTGAGGGCAGTGGGATGGAGTGTTGGGGAGAAACTAAATGGACATCAGCAAGGAAATGGGACTGCACGTGGCTCGGTGATAGAAGTGTTACTGGGAAATAGAGAGTGGGTTTTAGTCTTACTGATAAAATTAACCTTTTTTTAAACTTTTAACTAATGTATTCCATCTTTCAAAAAGAAAGACATGATTTTAATATTACTTAAAAATATGTTTAAGGCTGGGCATTGGTGGCACTCACGTTAAATCCCAGCACTCAGGAGGCAGAGGCAGGCAGAGCTATGTGAGATCCAGCACAGCCTGGTCTCCTGAGGGAGTGGCAGGCTAGGCTCCAAAGCTACACAGAAAAATCTTGTCTCGAAAAGCAAAAAAAAAAAAAAAAAAACGTTAAAAAAAAAAAAGTAGGCAGGCAAGCCTCCGTGTTAATATGGTTGTAACAGACTAGGTGGGTTTCTTGTTTTTATCGTTCTCATTCTGCAAGGGGTCTTACACAAGCTGGCTACAAGTCAGGGGGTCAAACACAAACAGTGCAACGTGTACACTTGGAAATTGTAGATTGTGAAAGAGTACAAAGGAGGCCTGCAATAAAATTAATTTTTAAAAACTGGATTCAGAATGAAGTTGAAAACCATCTCATGGGTAGGCAAGCTGTAAATCTCAGCTGCTACCAGGAGGAGAGGGATAGAAGAATCCAGGGAAGGGTCCAAGAATGCAGGCAGACTGGGTAGTGGAGGTCTGAAAGCAGCTTGTGGGTACTGGTAGGGGCATGGGGAGATGGAGGTGGGTGGGATGGTGATGCCCACGGTGTCAGCATTTCAGCTGGTTACTAAGGATCCTCCCATTCCTCTGGTATTTTAAACTTTAAGGAGGGTGCTTCCTTTTTTTGAAATTGGTGTGTTATGAAGAAAACAAGAGGTGGGAGGCCGAGCTGATCTGAAGGGAGAGTCCCTCCTCAGTGGCCTCCGAGTAGGCTAAAGCTGTCTGTCTACCCAACAGAATAGGACCTGGCTGTTTGTTTTGTTTTTGAGACAGCGCCTCATATAGTCTAGGCTAGCTTTGAACTTTTGATCCCCTAGGCTCCTCCTCTCCAGTGCTGGAATGACAGGAATGAGACACTAGGCCAGGCTAGAAAAGGTCCCAAAAATCTGGATTCGGTCTCCAGCACAAAACCGGAAACTGAAGCCAGAGAAGCATCGAGAAGCTTCTGTTGCAGGTCCTACAAAGCATTCCCATCTTTTAGGCCCTAAGACTTACGGGTTCCGGCCTGTGGCTCTGCCCACTCCACTACTGGGAGAGACCAGTGCCGAGACTCGACTCCAGCCGCAGGGGGCGCTGTTCCGCTTCCCTGCAGCAGGAAGCGGAGCCTCGTATCCCTTCTGCGAGTGAGCCACGGGGAAACGTCATATCCGGTCCTGCGCGCACTGCACCGGAGCCGGAACTGGTGGGTAAATGGTGGCGGTTTCTTCAAGACCCCTTCTTGGATAGAGAACTGGCTCTTCCCTACCTCCTGCGACGCTCTTTACAGGGGATCACCGGGAAGTTCTACCGCTTGGTGACTTCGGACCGCAGCATAAGCCTCAAACGCTACTTCAATGTCCACTCTCACATGCTCCGGAAGACCCTGTCTTCCCGGCTATCCAAGGAACTGCGGCAGAAGTACAACGTCCCTTCCGTGCCCATCTGCAAGGACGACGAGGTCCAGGTACATCCAGGAGTCCTCGGATTCTAGTTTCCCCAGAACATATGGCTCAGTCACCCCCTTCGCACGGAATCCCGGAGGAGTCACATACCCCAAGACCTGAGGAAGGCGACAGAGTTACGCAGACGTGGTAAATGAGAGCAACTTCTGTGTCTGTGCTGCCTCAGAGCGTTACCTCGATAATAGTGATAAAATATTATGCCAAGGCTGCAAACATCTGCTTTTTCAATTTAGCCCACTGGCCTTTAGTTTGCTAAGTGTAGCTCATGATGGCTCCTTGAGCCAGTCTTTGAAGGAGAAGGTGCTACAGTATCTCTTGAGTTTAGCAGAACTAGTGGACAGAGATATGAGGGAGTCGACCATGCAAGGATACCAAGATGTGACAGAAATGAGTTGGAAGCAGCAAATCAGAGATGGGAAATGTCCAAAGACCATATGTTCCCAGTGACTGGAGCATAGGGTGTGTCAGGGCTGTAGAGGATGAAATGGGCAGAGATTAGATTGGTTGCTGAAAGGGGGACTATGTACTTAGCAGGCATTCATTGTTCTGGACATAAGCTATGAACAGGACTGTGGAAGCCTAGACTGCAGAGTGAGACTTTTCTCAAAAGTAAATAAATAAATAAATAAATAAAAGTTGCCTGGACTGTGTTCTGGATCACTTGTGAATGCCCTTGAGTCTCATCCCTGTCCCTGCTGCCTCGTAAAATCTGCTTTGAGCTGAGATCACCTCTGGCTAAATCCAGTGGCCATATTTATTACAGGTGGCACTACCATAGTTGAGTTCATGCTTGCAGTTGATTGCAACTTCTCAGACTCCTTTTATGATTAATTTTTTTTTTCTCCCTACGATCCCGGAGTTCATCAAGGCCTGGGTCTGGACTAACATTCCTCCTTGTTTAGTATTCTCTCCAAGCTTTCAATGTATGTTTTGTGATAACAACTCCCAACTTGCCAGATCTCTCTCCTAGCAGGGCAGGGTCAATACTCATTGAATAGGAAAAAAATTATCAACTAGATGAATATGAAAGGTACGATAAAGGAGATTTTTTCAGTATATATGAGGTATGAATTGTGTTTTCTTTTAGATATGAAGAAACTGAAACTCCAGTTAAATAACTCAGAACATGGAATCAAGGATGACCATGATTTCTGAGTACGGGAACTACAGGCATGTACTGCTGTGCTAGACCTATGCAGTGCCAGGCATGTGCATACTAAGCACACTCTCCGCCACTGCCTCCACTCCCAGCCACAGGTTAGTTTTGTGTTTGTAGTGCTAGGGTTTGAACCCAGGGCCTTGTACATACTAGGCAAGTGCTCTTGCATCCCCAGGCCCATAATACAGTTTTTAAATTGTGGGTTTGAAATGGATGCATAGTAGTCTTTTGGAAATTTCTTTTCTTTCTTTCTTTCTTTCTTTCTTTCTTTCTCTCTCTCTCTCTCTCTCTCTCTCTCTCTCTCTCTCTCTGTCTCTTTTAACAGGGTTTCCTCTGTGTAGTCCTGGCTGTCCTATAACTCTATCTGTAGATCTGGTTGGCCTTATACTCAGAAATCCTCCTGCGTCTGCCTCCTGAGTGCTGGGGTTAAAGGCGTGCACCACCACCTCCCAGCTATAAAATTTCCTAAACACATTTTCTGTTTAGATGTTGAAATCTAGACTGTGGCTTGGTGGTAGAAATCCTAATGTGTAAAACCCTGGCTTCTGTCTTGATATTTAGGGAATGATTATATTCTACTAATTTTTAAAACATGTATTATTTATTTGTGTTATGCGTATGGATACATGTGTGCCACAATGCACATATGGCGGTCAGAGGACAACTTGTGGGAGTTCTGTCTAGTGTGTGGGATCCAGTAATCAAACTTATGTCTTCAGTCCTGGTGGCAATGGTCTTGGTGAGCCATCTTTCCTGCCCTATAGTTTTCAATCTCAAGACTTCTTCTGTAATGATTATCCCTGGCTGAGAAGGATTTTTCTTCTTCCTTAAGTAAATAAATAGAGGTGAACAATCTCTACACAACCAACCATAAGACAAGTATATAGCACAAAAAGTCATCTCTGACTGCCAAGTCTGCTTTTGTTCAGAAGTTTGCATGTTTAGCCCATGTGTTCCTGACAGCTTCCTCCATGTGTTGTGCTGTCCTAGATGGTTTGAGGATGTGACAAATGCCTGCAGGTCAGCAAGGCAGTCTAAGTGTACAGAAGTGAGCATCTTGAGCTACATCAAGCAGGGACAGCATAAGAAGGCATGTCAGGACTGTCTGTATCATGGGAGTGACTAAGGCCTAGAGACAGGCTAGGCAGGCTCAGTGGCATCAACAAGAGTCTACAGCAGTGGTTCTCAGCCTGTGGGTCGCAAGCCTCACAGGAGTCACAGATACTGTATCCTGCATATCAGGCATTTACATTATGATTCATAACAGTACCAACTGTTATGAAGTAGCAATGAAATAATAACATGAGGGACCATATTAAAGGGTCCCAGCATCGGGAAGCTTGAGAACCACTGGTCTAAAGGCTCTTCTGTGTTGTCATTCTTGATGATGGCTATCACCCCAAGTGGGCGGCAAGAGGGCTCAGGCATTCTAAGCATCACTTGTCCACTAGAAAAAGTCCTAAGAGAAAAGGGCAGAGCTCTCTTCCTGGGCATCCCTACCCAAGAAAGATGTGCTGTTCACCTTTGAACTCTCATTTCACACTACTGGAGTTTTCTTCCCTTAGTTTCAGATCCGTAAACAGAGTGGTTAGGGTCCTGTCTTCATAGTTCCTGTATTATTGCCCAGTAGCTAGTGAGAATCCATATGTTTTTAAAATTTTTTATTGAGCTATACATTTTCCCCCACTTCCCTTTCTTCCTCCCCTCTCCCCTTCAGCCTCCCCCCTGCCCGCCATGCTCCCAATTTACTCAGAAGATCTTGTCTTTTTCCCTTCCCTAGGTGGATCCATGTATATGTCTCTTAGGGTCCTCTTTGTTACCTAGGTTCTCTGGGGTTGTGACCTGTAGGCTAGTTGTCCTTTGCTTTTTACCACCAAATAGTACTCCATTGTGTAAATGTACCACATTTTCCTTATCCATTCTTCAGTTGAGGGGCATTAGGTTGTTTCCAGGTTCTGGCTATTCTGTATAATGCTCCTATGAACATAGCTGAGCAAATGTCCTTGTGGTGTGAATGTTCCAAGATTTTTTTCTAAGCAGTGTATCTTGCCAGCCAGAGATGTAAGCAAAATTTCCATCCATAACCAACACATTACTGAACTGTGTAAATAGTTCATGGAAGCTGGGCGGTGGTGACGCACACCTTTAATCCCAGCATTCTGAAGGCAAGTGGATCTCTGTGAGTTCGAGGCTAGTCTGGTCTACAGGCTCCAAAAGCTACAGAGAAACCCTGTCTTGAAAAACCAAAAATCAAACAAACAAAAGGTCTCATGGGAACCTCAGGGAATCTGAGGTCTTGAGCTTGGCTGTCAGGAGGAACCCGAGGGAGGCTCTGCTGTGGGGGGTTATAAATGGAGATTATAAATTCCTTCCATTTAAAACTCTGTCTCCTAACAGGTAGTTATCACCAGGCTGGAACCAGACTAAGACAGGAAAAGAATTCTTCAACACAAAGCCAAGTCTCATCAAGTTGGAAAGAGAAAGGCCACTGTAGGGATCTCATGGAGGATGCAGGAGTGAAATGAGCTGTCGTGCACCCAGGGCTAACTGCAGAGGCCTTGTCTTGTGCCGGCTTCTTTGAAACTTTTCAAAGTGTGTCTGATGTGTTTCATTGTCCACCTGTTTTGCTACTGAACTGTCACTCTGTAAATCTCCTTTTGCAGTTTTGATAATTTATGAATAAAAATTGGAACTATTTCCCAAAGTCAAGTGGCATTTACATTATTTTATAAATGAAAGCCTTCTCATCCACCAGCACAGTAGCACTGATAGGCCTTGCTCTTTGCTCTGGCAGAGGGGGGGAGGGTGGGGCTCTGGTTTTCTGAGGCAGGGGGTTGACTGATTGCTATTAAGATACCAACTGGCACCTCAGCCCACTGAGCTCCCGCTGCTGTTTCCCGGCACACCCAGCCTGATGATCCTCATGCTTCCTGGCTGCTGTTCCCAGATTCCTTCTTTTGTGTGCCCCGACCCCCCTTGATTTTTGAGCCAGGGTTTCTCTGTGTAGTCCTGACTATCCTGGAACTTGATTTGTAGACCAGGCTGGCCTTGAATTCATAGAGATCCACCTGCTTCTGCCTCTTAAGAGCTGGGACTAAAGATGTGTGCCACCACTGTCTGCCTCCCATATCCCTTAACCAGATGAACCAGGCAGGTCTCTTGCAGCTCCTTGCCCAGGCTCCCTTTCCCAAGGTCTAGACTTTGTAAATACGTTTTTTTCTAATTGAAGTGTTCTTCCACTGGAGCTAACTCAGGAACTAGCAGCCTGTGCTGAGATTTGACTCTGAGTTTGTCTTTGTGCTTTTAGTTCTTAATCCGTTCCAGCATTTTTCATGTGAGATTCCCATGAATGCCTGTTAGGCCCGCTTGCATGGCATCCTCACTCCCCTCCTGTATAGGCCTGAGGCTGAGGCTTGAACTCCCTCCTGCCTTTACTTGTATGACTCCCACTGGCACGTGGGTTCCATTAAACTTCAAGATTGAGTTTCTGGCTGAAGTACTCCCACCCCAGGAAGTCATCCTTTGGTTAGAATGTATTAAACAGCCCCTTTTCCTTTGCACACTGGAATGGAACTTGGGGCCTTGCACATGTCAGAAACATGCTGTACCATCCAACTCTGCTCTCTGCTCTTTCTCCCTGTATGAAAAACTATAACAATAAAAAGCAAGAACTGCTCTTTCTTGATTTAATATTTAATTGCTGTAATTTTTAGGTAAGGCCTCACTGTGTAACTAGCTGGCTGACCTTGAAGTCATGCTCCTCTTGCCTCAAAACGTCAGAATCACAGGCAAGCAGTGCCCATCTTTAGCTGTGAAAATTAGCAGGTCACCAACGCCACCTGACTGTAGGAGTCACATGTTTGTTTCTGTTAGTTTCCACCCTCTCACCCGAACTCCACTCCTGAGTGCCGTGTGTGTGTGTGTGTGTGTGTGTGTGTGTGTGTGTGTGTGTGTGTGTGTGTGTGTTTCTCATGTATGTAGTTGTTTTTTTCTTGGATAATTTTTTTGTTTGTTTTTTGTTTTTTGAGACAGGGTTTCTCTGTGGCTTTGGAGGCTGTCCTGGAACTGGCTCTTGTAGACCAGGCTGGTCTCGAACTCACAGAGATCTGCCTGCCTCTGCCTCCTGAGTGCTGGGATTAAAGGTGTGCACCACCACTGCCCAGCATGAATTTGAATAATTCTTAAATCCACACAGACTTGGTTTGTGTCTAGAATATATACTCAGTGTACAGAGTGGTTGCCTACTACACCAGAGGTGTAACTTGATGAGTGAAGTCAGTTGTTTTTGAGTATTTTGAGATTTGTGTTAGTATAGGTGTTTTGCCTGCATATGTATGTATGTATGTATGTATGTATGTATGTATGTATGTATATGTGCACCATGTGCATGCAGTGCCTGAGAAGGCCAGAAGAAGACATCACAAAACCCAAAAGGGTTGTGAGCCTCTGTGTGTGTGTGCTGTGAATCAAACTGGAGACTCTAGAAGAGCAGACAGTGCTATTAACTGCTGAGCCATCTCTCTAGCTTCGTGCTGGTTATTTTCTATTGAATTTTGTCTTCATTCTCAATCAGCTTAAACCTAGGAGTCCAGAAGTTGAGTAAAAGTTAATATCCTACTAGACTAAGTTTACAGCTATATGAGTTCTTTAGAGGAACAGAATCTATAGAATGAATATATACAAAAAGGGCATTTGTTAAGTCACTTACACAGTATTGCCTGTGCCATCAAACAGTGGCTGTCTTCACACTGGAGAAACAAAGAACCCAGTAGCTGCTCAGTTCACAAGATTTTCCCTTGGATCTCATTTCTGGACTGCCACCCAAGGGTTCCACCCTCTTTTATGCTGGGTCTTCCCTCTTCAAATGACTGATCAAAGTAATCCCTCCCTGGTGTATCCAACTGTCTCTCAGTCATTTGCAGATTCAGGCAGGGCAACGACCAATGTGAACCATCACACAGCCTGCAAGCTTAGGAAGCAATGGTGCTCAAAGCTGTGGCTGCTGAGGGTATGGTGGCTGGAGTGTAACATGGGGCTGTGTTCCTCCATCCCAGATTCCCACACAAGCACACAGAACCCAGCATATGCCATATTCCCCACCCTAACATGGTTTCTGGCTGAGAGACACACTGAAGCCATAATGGGGTTCACCTCCTCAATGGGCATACACCTGCCCAGTTGGGTCTCAGAAGGCCAGCAGGCACTATGGCTTTGTCTTAGTGTCTATTGCTGTGAAGAGTCACCATGGCCACAGCAACTCTTATAAAAGAAAGCATTTGATTGGTGTTTGCTTACCGTGTCAGAGGTCTAGTCCATTATCATCATGGCGGGAAGCATGGGGTAATGCAGACAGCTGAAGAGGTAGCTGGGAGTTCTATCTCAGATCCACAGGCAGCAGGGAGAGGGGCGGAGAGTGGGCCCAGCTTGGGTTTTTGAAACCTCAAAGCCCATCTCTAGTGACACAGCTACTCCAACAAGGCCATACCTCCTAATCCTTCCAAATAGTGCCAGTCCCTGGTAACTAAGCATTCAAATATAGGAGCCTATGGAAACCATTCTTATTCAAACCACCACCGACCTCTTGGGAGGCACTTGGGTTAATTTATTAGAGTGAGTTGTAACCTTTGCCTGTATGTCAGAACATGTGCTGAAAAGCACAGGAATGAGGTGGGAAAAGCACTGTGCCTGGCACACCGGACTATATCTATAGTTGCTGCCAAGGAATGCAGGGGCAAGCTTGATGCCAGCAGGACAGACATGCAGGACTCCTGCAATTCACTGTTTAAAAAAACCTTGAAAAAGAAAGCAGAAATGAGGTGGAGAGTTAGTTCAGCAGTTAATAGCACTCAAGGTTCTTACAGAGGACCCTGCCCCCACATCAGTTATGATCTCTGACCTCTGCAGAGGTACACAAATCTCACATGGATACATATACATGCATGTATATACACATAAAATTTTTAAAGTCTTTAAAAATATTTTTTAAAAAAAGAAAACAATCTGGGTAATGGTGTTAGCGATGTAGCACATGCCTTTAATCCCAGAGGTAGAGGCAGGCAGATCTCTGTGAGTTCCAGACCAGTCTAGTCTACAGAGCTAGTTCTAGGACAGCCAAGGCTATACAGAGAAACTCTGTCTTTAAAAAAAAAAAAACTAAACAACAACAAAAAATAGAGATGTTTGTAATCCCATCATTCAGGAGCTGTAGACAGGAAATCACAAATTGGGGAGCACCCTGGGCTACATAGCCAGTTCTATGGCAGCCTAGCCTATATAATCAAACCAGTCTCCTCTCTCTCTCTCTCTCTGTCTCTCTCTGTCTCTCTCTCTCTCTCTCTCTCTCTCTCTCTCACACACACACCTTGAAGATTATTATGCTAAATGAAATAAACCCACCATGGACAGACAACAGCGTGTGGTTCCTCTTTTAGGGGGTTCCAAACATACTGAGAAAGTAGAACAGTGGTTGTCAGGGGTTGCTGGGAGAGTTGGTGCGGGGAGGGCTGGTGGGAGGCAATTGTTTAACAAATAGGAGAAACATCCGGAGAGCATGGTGGCACTTGCCTGTAATCCTACTACTCTGAGAGGTCATGGCAAGGGGATCACAGAGTTGATCTATCCTGGGGTCTAGTGTGAGTTCTAGAGATTGTTTGAGCAACAATGTAAACAATTGCTTCAAACAGTCTTAGGACAAATTGTATGCTACATGTATCATAGACGATTTTAAGGAAACAAGAAGTTATATGTGAGGGAGGCAGGGAAGAGCTGCTTTCTCGCCTTTATTTCTGGTGATCTCACACTGTCTTGTCTATTCAGTTCAGCTGCACAGTGGTTCAGTGGGTACAGTCTATGTCTAGTACATACAATGGTTAAGTGAACACATTCTATGTCTAATATACTCCCAGAAACAACAAGCAGCTGAACAGTGCCTGTCCTCCAGAAGCAACATGTAGGCATGTCCAAACTTAAGACGTGCCAATGTGACACTGTCATCTACAAGGTTCACACCTGAGACTCACACAATTAGTAGCAACCCCCCCAAAAAAATACAAAAAAAACTCATAAGATTTTAAATAAGTTTAAGATTCTTTGTTGGGTCACATTCATAGCTGTCCTCAGGCACAGGCTGGACACTCTGAAGGGTTTGAACAAGGTCATACACAGACACAGATGTGCTAACAGCAGGCAATGGGCCTCAGCGGTGCTTTGCCTGGGACTTACAAACATCATAATTCCTGCTGAGCTAAGTTATGCAGGAAAGCAGTATCAGCACAAAGTGTACCTAATGATTCAAAATAAACGCCTCCTCCTTAAACAAAGAAGCAAAATACCTAGTGTGGAATTCTCAAAGAATAAATTATTTTGTTTCTAAGAAGGCCAACCAGTTTTAACTCTGAAGTGTGCTAGACAGCTAAAGTCTTGAAATCATTTGAAGAGTTGGTAAAGCTGTTGAAAGTTCCAGCTGATTCATAAATCCATTCTACTTGATGAAGGAAGGAGGGATGTGGCTATTGCTGGGAACCTGATCCACAGCCCTCACACTAGAGTCAGCTGAGAGATCTCCTTCCTACCTTGTTCAGTCTGTGAGCTTCTTCAAAGTCAACCTCAGCTCAACACAGAGGTTCACCTGTAATCCCAGCACCTGGGAGTCAGAGGCAGGAGGATTTCGAGCTGGAGGCCAGCCTGTTCCACATAATGAGACCCTGACC